AGCCATTCGAGAACCACTGATGAGGAGCCAAGTGGGGCTCCAGTGTGGCGTCTCCAGGTTCAGCTGCTCGTGCTTAGAACAGCTGTTCCCGGGAGTTCCGATACAGAGGCCGCGGCCGTCGCTCCCAGCTACGTTTGACAAACCACCCTGTTGAATGGGGTGGGGTCCCCCCCAAGGCATGGAGTCCCCTCCTGGGGGAGAGCAGGTTGTAGGAGACCCACTCACAGCCTCTTCATCCCCCGCCCCCCCCCCCACTGCACGTGCCCCCAAAGCTAGCTCCATATAAAGGGATGGTGCAGTTAAATAGATTTTGCGCCCCTGCCACCCATCAGCTCCCCGATAAGTTTGTTTCGTGGACAACAATGCAAAGAGCTTGAAGCCCATCCAGGGACAAGCCTCTGCCTGCCCTCTGCGGGTTGCAGGAACTGGTCACTAAATAAATAATAGAAACCCTGCCCTTCTCGAAGAGCTCCAGTCTCCTTCCTATTTTTAGACAGCCAGTCTGGCCTCCCATGGAGCTACGTCCCCTGAGGTCTGGGCACTGGGCCCCAGCCGGAGGTTGAGACAAAGACGCCGGTGGCAGCAGCGGTCGGGCGACCCAAGAAGGGCAGCAGGCACATCTCTATCTCTGTCCCGAGGAGCTCGGGTAGACGTCCAGGGGGCCTCATCCCGGGCCACCGGAGGACTTCCGTTATCCAACCCAGGGTCGAGCCAAAAGCTCTCGGAGAATGAAGAGCAGGAACTGCTATTCTGAAATTCCTGAGACCAGAGACTGGACAGGGTTCCAGTGTGAGTGCCACTTGTTTGTCTCACTAGGAATCAGAACAGGGCAGGCAGGCTGCTGAGAAAGTCCTGGGTACCCCCCCACTCCCACCCCCAGGCCACACCTCCGGGTGCCAGCCACCTCCCCACCACTAGATGCCCATTCTACAGATGAGGACAGCAAGGTCGGCAGCCCTTGGTAACCAAGCCAAGGGCACACAACCGGGGAATGGCAGAGCCTGGATCCGGCCCTGATCCCAATCCATCCCCCACAGCAGCTGAAAGGTCAGATGGGCACGTGTCCGAGGAGGAAGGAGTGCTTATAAGATGCCCGGAAGGACAACTTCAGAGTGCCGACCGAGGGTGGGGACACTGACGCCATCGGCACCAGCACCAAGAGGTCAAGGTGCAGGAGGTCCTGAGAGACGCTGCCCGCGCGGTGTGGGCAGAAATGCACCTGCAGGGTCTCCCGCCCTGGGCGGCAGGTGTTTCATCAACAGTCACTGATCGTTCTTGGATGTGGTTTAGGTGTGGGCTTCTCTAGGGTGGAGCTCAATCGAGATGGCACTTGGAGTCCTCGAAATTTCTTGTTCTTGTTTACAAAAGGATTTGTTTTATTTATTTGAAAGGCAGAGAGAGAGAAAGAGAGAGAGAGAGAGAGGTCTTCCATCTGCTGGTCCACTCCTCAAATGCTTGCAACAAACAGGGCTGGGCCAGAGCAAAGCCAGGATCCAGGGATTCCATCCAGGTCTCCCTCGTGGGTGGCGGGAGCCCAAGTACTTGGGCCACTTTGCCACTGCCTTCCTGGGAGCTGGAAGCTGGATCCCAAGCTGAGTGACTGCAACTTGAACCAGCACCCTGGTATGGGGTCCAGGCATCCCAAGCAGAGGCTAAACCTGCTTGCCACAGTGGGGTGGGGGGGCGCCCTTTAAAATTTCCTGGAGTCAGGGCTCAAGGATTAAGATCTTGCTGCTCCTAGAACGTCAATGCTCCGTGGGCATTACCCCCCCCCCCCGCCCCGCCCCGAAGTGCAGAAGGGACGGGTGAATTACAGAACCTGCTGTTTGGACAGCTTTGAGGCTGCCCTCTGATGGACCCAGAGCCCATTCTGCGCGCTGTGCTTTTCCCACCAGCAGATGTGTCTGTTGAGCGCTTCTCATCCGCGATGCTACAGCGGCCAGTACCTGCTCATGTATCTTGCTGGTCCCTTCACACCTCTTCCTTCCAGACCCTCGGACCCCTGAGCTGTTTGCACAAGCAAACAGCTGTGCAACATTGAGGAACTTTGCAAGCCCTTTGTTAGATTACCGGTCGCTTGAAATGGACCGTGGCGGGAATATTTGCACCACTGACGTGGCAAAGGTTGCAGACCGGGATGTACCTTCCTCCTACTCTTTGCCAAGAGCCTGCTCAGTGCACAAGGCAGGACAGCGCTTAGCTCTGTGGGACCCTGTTTCCAGCGCTTGACAAATCTGCACCCGCTTGAGGAGGGCACCCTGTGACTGCTGTTACACAGGTGGGGACAGCTGAGGCTCACTCAGGCAGGCAAAGTCCCTCGCCCAAATGGGGTCCCACAGCCCCGCTAACAGGGAGGCGGGAGGACTGAGTGTCTGGGCTCTGCGGCCTTGGGTGGCGTCACAGGTCCCAGCCACGTGAATGACAGCCGCTGCTTTGAATCAGCCAGGAGAGGAGAGGCAGGTGCCTGGTGACTCAACTGTCTCCCAGGCCTCGGAAGCAAGGACAGGCTGTGTTATGGGAGGAGAGCTCACCCCACCGAGCCCCCCCCCCCAACCACAGAGCTTCAGACAACAAGCCCCACGCGGAGCTGCAGGCTTGTTCCCGCTCTGTTGACGCCGCCCACGGAGCCTGTGGCCAGACTGAATGACGTCTGGACCAGTGGCTGCAGCAGCAGCAGCAGCAGACGGCTTCATGTGGTGAGAGCCCTGCCGCGTGGGCATCACCGCCAGGGAGGAGGGCAGACCCTGGGTGGGCGCTGCAGCCCCCCCGGAGGCAGCCGGGCCCCTGGCACGTGGCTGTGGCTGGGGAGGGAGCCCAGCCTCTGTGCAGGGGCTGCTTTGCCTTGGGGATTCCAGATCTGCAGGGGCCCCAGGAGAGCCCGCGCCAGCCCTTGTTTTCCCGTCCGTGTGGTCACTGCCCGTGCACCCGTCTCCCTACTCCAACAGGACTTCTTCAGCCCTGGCTGTGGCTTCAGCACGTGGCCTGGGCGCAGAACGCAGCAGTCCCTCAGTAAGCATGCAACAAACGAACACGTGCAGAAGGCACACACCGGGGCCTTGGCTCCCCTCGCTCTTGCTGTCCCGGGATGCTTGTGATGATTTCTCCACACCCTGCAATTAGGAAACATCCCCCCTGGTCATCACGCCCAAGACTTCCTCTGCCCCAGCTTCCTGCTGGCTGCAGACGGGGGCTTGCCCAGCAGCAGGCACAGCGTGCAGCTGAGGACCCCAAGGACTGATGGGAGCCTGGGCAGAGAGAGGAAAGGAAGGCGGTTCCAGGCAGAAGGAACAGGTGCAAGGACCTGTCTGGGAGCTCGCGGTTGGCCAGCAGGTCCCTGTAGCCAGGTGATCCAGTGAAACCCTCCATGGGAGAGGTGGGGAGAAGCCACGAGCCCCTCTCACCGTCACACACATCGGCACCCGCCGGGGCTCCAGGAGCGAGGGGCGAGCAGTTGGCATAGCAGCTTAGGCGCTGCTTGGGACTCCTGAGTGTCTGAGTTCGAGCCCAGCCAGGTTCCTGGGAATGCACAGCTAAGCAGCAGGTGATGGCTCAAGGAGGTGATTCCCTACCAATGACATGGAGGACTGGGAGGAGTTGCAGGCTCCTGGCTCAGCCTGGCTCGGCCCTAGCTGTTGCAGGCATTCGGGAGGTTGAACCAGCAGATGGGAGATTTCCCTCTCTCTCTCTCTAATAAAAAAATGGGACAAAAAAAAAAAAAAAAAAAAAAAAAGGAAAAGGCCAGGAGCTGGTATTTGAACTTGGAATAACTGGTCCCAGCAGTTGTCACAGACTGGTTCAGTGGACTTGGACTTGGGGACTCCTTCCCTGGCCCCAGCTGTCTGTCTGGCTTCCTAGAATCCTCTGACATGGAAGGGGGACTTGGGGCCAGCTCTCCAGGCCTCTCAGACCAGCCCACGCCCCATGGCCAACATTCCTCTGCAAAGCCAGGTCTCTGCACCCCGAGGGTGCTGGGAAATGCAGATTCCAGGCGCTGCTCTGGGATCTTAAATGAGAACCTGCATTTCCCAGGGCTGCCCTGGTAGGGTACAGGGCCCCCCAGGTGGCTCTGGAAGGCATCCAGAAATGGCCAGGACCCAGGCTGGGTCCTGTGGGCTGCAGGAATGGACAACCAGTCCACAGCAGCCCCCTCTCCAGCATCCTGGGAAACTCACGGAGGGGAACTCGAGGCCCAACCGCAGCACCTAGCACTGAACCTGGCCCCCCCGGGCAGACAGGAAGCGTGCACCAGTCACTGACGGTGGTGTCGCCAAGCCTGGGCTCAAAGTCAGGACTTTGAATGTCCGCCCAGACTCCCGGGGCTCCCTGCACATCAGCGCCTGCTTGTGAGGGTCAGCCACCTGCGGTAGTGTGTGGGCGACTCATTAACCTAAGTCCATGTCAAGGAAGCGGGATGGTGGTGAGACAGCTGGCAGGCCAGGCCTGCATCACCCAGCCTGGAGTTCTAGAGGCAGAACAACCAGGCCGGGCCTTCGGACCACCCACGCGGCTTCCTCTCCAGCAGCTGGTGGGTGGGGAGAAAAGACTGTCACGTGGGCGTGCTCACCTAGAAAAGGTGCTGGGGAAGGGGATAGGGTCTTTCTCAGAATTGGCCAAGAGCAGGTGGCACTCATTCGAATATCGAATAGGATGGTTATTCCCAGTGCTTCCCATAGAGCTAGCTAATGCGCGCAGACCCCGCTATCCCCCCAGGGTTTTCCCTCCCGAGATCCGAGATCCGCGACGGGGGTGGGCGTGGATGTCGCTCAGGTCTGAGTCCTCCGACGCACACCCAGCTTGGCTTGCACCTGCTTCTATCCAGAGCCGGGAGGGGCGCAGGAGGGGAGAGGCACGACGCGCGTGCCCGTGCCCGCTGCCCCGGGCACCTGGGAACGCAGCCGAGGGCTCCCGGGCCCCCTCCCCGAGGCTTCCGGCGCCCGGGGCGGGGCGCTGCCCACGCCCCGCAGTGCGCGAAGCCGGCGTGCGCTAGGACCGCGGCGCGCTCCCGCCGCCGCTATATGAGGCCGAGCTCGGGCCCCACGCGGAACCCGAGGCTCCGAGGCGTCCCCGGCTTCCCGACCCGCCGTGGACCCGAGGCCGGAGCGGCCGCTGCGCAGCCGAGACAGCCCGGGGCCTGCGAGGGACACGCGCCCCGGGGGTCCCCGCCGCCGGCACCATGGGGGCTGCCCACTCCGCGTCCGAGGAGGTGCGAGAGCTCCAGGGCAAGACCGGCTGTGAGTACCCCAGGGGGGCGGCGCGGGGACCCCGGCTCGGCGGCCGCGCGGTGTGACCTTGGGCCGGTGGCTGGCCCTCTCTGCGCCTCAGTCTCCCCGTCTTTCGAATGGGTCCCCGCCGGCCACTTTGCGGGCTGCGGCCGCTCAGCCCGGGAGTTGCCGGGGATTGCGGGGTGGGGAGGGGCAGGGCCCAGGCGGCCCCCGTGCGGGGCGGCGCCCCGGGCCCGGAGAGCGAGCGCGGGGGCCGTGCACCTGGAGCGCGCCGCGCACCTGCGAGTCGTTTGGGTTCGTGGCGCGCGGGGGCGGAAAGTTTTGAAATCGGCCGGGTCTGGGCGAGAGCCGGGCTCTGGCGCTCCCCGCCTGTGTGACCTTAGGCGGGAGGTTCGGGGTCTCTGCACTTCCCCCCGCCCTCCCGTCCGCGACGTGGGCTCGGGTGGGCCACCCCCCGCGGCTCTCCGTGGGGCCGCAGCGAGACAGCGCCCGCGGAACACTTGGCCGGGCGCCCCGCGTCCCCCTCCGAGCTCGCTCAGACTCCCGGGACCGCAGAGGCTGCGCGCCCCGCATCCCGGCCGGGGCGGGGCGCCCGCAGGGAAGTGACGGCAGGAAGCGGCTGGGCGCCCGAGTTCAGCCGGGCTGGGTTCCGCCCGGGGTTGGGGGGCGCTGCAGGTGGGGAGGGGGCGAGCACTGGAGGTCGGGGTTGTGGGCAGAGTGGCCTTGGCGAACCCTTGAACCCTGGCGGCTCCGCGCCCCGCGCCGTGTGACCTTGGGCTGGTCCCTGTACCTCTCTGCTCACTTTGGTTGTGTGTGCCGTGGGCGATGAGATCGGGGAGCTGCACCCGGGGCGGGGCGGGCGCTGGCTCCCAGGGCGCAGGAGCGGCACCCCCGGGAGCGCTGAGCCCCCTCTCAGCACCACTTTGCAGGGGTCTGGTGGGGACATGGCAGAAAGCCCGCAGTAGCCGGAGTGGGGGAGAGAGAGGGAAGGGGGGGAACACGTGCACGCGAACCCCGCTTCCCGGGATGCATTTTCCATGCACAGATCTAGAACGGCCCCCAGCCGGCGGAGGGGAGGTGTGCTGTGGGTCTGTGGCTCGGTGGGCGTCTTGTTCCGTGAAAAGCAAGCGAGCGAGAGAGCAGTGTGGGCTCACCGCGTGCGTGGGGGTGGCTCCGTGAGGCTGGCAGCCACACACACCCTGGGTACTTGCCTGCGGAAGGGGTGAAGCCGCCGGGCTCCCCCACTGCCCGCCGCGTTGCTTGCATTTTGAGCCGCAGGAGCCGCTGACTTCGCGAAGTTCTGTGCCCCTCGATGCCCATGCGGAGGCTGCTGGAGCCAGGAGGGTGGCAGCCCCCGGCCGGGTCCTGCCCGGGTGCCTCCTGCTGCCTGGAGGTGGCTGGGGAGGGCTCCCAGCTGCCGGGCTGGGCTGCGGGAATTCCACCTGCTGCTGGCTTTGACAGGGGCGGGGAGCACAGAGGGGCAGGGACGGTGTGGGTTTCCTGGGGCCAGCGTCCTGCAGGGATGGCAGAGGCTGGGCCCCTGCTCTGTGGCTTTCCTTCTCCTGCAGTGTGGTTTCGCGTCTTGCCGCCCAGAGCTCAGATTTCACCCCCCAGGAGCACTTGTGCCTGTCCAGTAAATATTGACCCACCCGGGGCTGGAGGTTCAGAAGTGACCCGTAGGGGCTGATGTTCTGAGGGGCGACACCTCGCCAGTGTCAGCCCATGAGTGCTCTGTGCTGTGGACGGAGTGTGGGGAGCAGGGAGGAAGTGAATTTTGTCAGGGTCCACTCGGAGGGCTTCTTGGAGGAGGCAGCCGTGATAGGACCAAGGCAGGCAGGATTGCGTTGGTGACAGGAAGTGAGGATTGTGGGAGACAGGACCAGGGCTCAGGTTGTGGCAATATCCTGCCCTCCTGGGTCTCACTAGGTGCATGGCCCTGGGCAAGTCACGGGTGGGCCCTCAGTTGCCTTGACAGGAAATGGGCGCAGTAACGGGGAGTTAGGCTGGCGCGGAGGCCTCGGAGCAGAGCTGGGGAAGTGTGGGGTGCCGCTGGCTGCATGCCCCGTGGCGTCTGGGATCCTTCCCGGCTGCGCGACCTCGGGGTGCCCGCTGCGGGGACGTGGTGTGGTTACGGTCGGCCGGGGGTGTCAGCCTGCGGATCCAGGAACAGGGCCGTTCCTGGGCGTCCTTGGCAAGCGTCCCTGAGGACAGTCCCTGCCCTGGCCTCCCGCAGGCCCCTCCCTGCGCACCCTGGGGGCAGCCTTCCCTTCTTCTCAGGAGCACAGCCATTTCACAGATGAGACAACTGAGGCTCGGGGGGATAGAGCCAGGGGGTGCGGCCTCACAGCTGGCGGGCACCCAGAGGAGCTGGGGCCTGTAGGATCCCTACCCCCACTTTCTCCCGGTCCCTGCACCTCTGCTGTCTGGGAACCCAGGAGGGCTGGGCAAGCCTGCGGTCATTCTCTGGTCCCCTGCCCGCAGCGCTGCCATCCTTACAACGGGTGCAGTTCCGTGTTCCCTGCAGGCCCCTCCCGAGCCCCCCCCCCAGGGTAAGATTCCAGAAGTTTCCTCTTAACCTGACTCCTTACAAAGCTGCCGGTGCTGCCCTGGCTGCCGGCCCCCAGCCTCCCGGGGCGCATGCCCACGTCCAGGGCTCCGGCAGACTGGCCGGCCTCGTCCCCCGCCCCCACTCCCTTGAATCCCTGCTCCCTGGGAACAGAGAGAACCTGTTCGTCCCCACCGTCTGCTGGCCCACTCCGCAGATACCCGCGACAGCCAAGGGCTGGGCCAGGCCCAAGCCAGGAGCCTTGGTCTCAACCTGGGCCCTCGGAGTGCTTGAACCATCATGTGCCGCCTCCCTCCTTCTGAAACCAAACAGAGCCGGGGCTCGGACCAGGCGCTTTGATGTGGGGTGTGGGCTTTCCAAGCGGGGTCTTAGCTGCTGTGCCAAACGTCCCCCACCCCCACCCCACAAAGCATTGCTCACGAGCTGCATCCCACAGCTGCCCTCGTCTGGCTGTGCACCTGGGCACCCCCCTCCACGCATGCTGGGCCCCCCTGGCTTCATCGTGGAGCCAGCCTCACCAGCCTCACCAGAAATAGGGCCGAGCAGTGGCTCGCCCACGCAGGGGCACCCACCGGCCTGCCGCCCACTCCCTCCCCCTCGCCTGCTGGAGTCTCACTGACTGATGGGAAGCCTAACTAAGCGTCCCCAGGCATGTTTGCTGAGCCAGGAAAGTGCACCCCACCGTGTGGTTCACGACAGCGTGGGCATCCTGCTGGCGGGCGTGTGGCTGTGTCTGAGCCTGCCTGTCCCACGCAGGCACGGGGCCGGGTGTGCAGTGAGCCCTGGAGGAAGACGGGGCCTTGGGGATCACTCGCCAGTGGGTTCCCCTTGACCACTGTGCGGTGGCCGCACTTCCTGCCCCCACCCCCCACCTCCTCATCTGCACCTGTTCCTGCAGTTTGAAAAAAATAAGAAAAATGGCTTCAGGGGGCCACCCCGCCCCCTTCTGCAAAACCGTTCCAACAGGCAGGTCTGCGTCGAGGAGAGAAGCTTCCTGAAAGAGAAAGAAAATAATTTGCAGATGGAGCGCTCAGACTGGGGGTAGTAATGGCTCCTGTTTGTTGGGAGCGTCTCTTGCCAAACGTGGAGCTGAGCCAGGCGGTTCCCCTGCAGGGGCTCCTGCAATGCTCCCAGGAGCGCTGCCTTTCCCATCTTACAGATGGGGAGACTGAGGCCCGAGAGAGGAGGGGACTTGCCCGAGCCACAGGCTAATGGTGGGAAGTAGCCGGGGTTCTGTTCATGCGTGGTCTCATCCAAGCCTCCCACTGTGTGTGTAGGGGTGGCAGAGGCCAAGGGAGGGTGGGTAGCTGGGATGGCTGGGGGGCTGGGTAGCTGGGATGGCAGGGGGGCTGGCCTGAGTCTGTGTGTGGGATTCTAGTCGTGGGCAGAGCGCAGCCTGGGCCCTCTCGCAGGCCCTGGAGACCAGGGGACCGAAGGCTTGGGCTCGAGTGGGTGGCATAGCAGATGCTCTGCTGGGGACAAGGGCTGGCTGGCCGGCCGGCCCCTCGCTTCAGTGCTGTCCCGCAAAGCAGGAAGGGCAAAAGAGCCAGCTGGCCGGACCTGCCGGCTCCCTCCCTGTTGCCCTGCAGCAGCTGTGGCCTCCCACGTCCCCACCCTGCCCCACCCACACCTTTTAACCTGAGAGGCAGAGAGACCCCAGACCTAGAGAGAGCTCCCATCCGCTGCCCCGCCTCCCGCGTGCCCACCGCTGGGCCTGACAGAAGCCGGAGACTCCGTCCAGGTCTCCCATGTGGGTGGTGGCAGGGGACCAAGCACTTGAGGGCAGGCGTGTCACTGTCGCCAGCTCGCAGATGACAGCAAGGGTCACTCAGACGCCGAGTGTGGAACCAGAATGCAAAGACCAGACCTGCCGGTGAGGTTTTCAAGTGCAGAGAGCCCAGAGCTGTCACACGGCACAGACGGAGGGGGCAAGAGGCGGAGCCCGTTATCTGGGTGAGGTCGTGGCGCCCCAGGGTGTCATTTGGGATGTTGTGCAGCTTGTAGATAAAGTGGGGTCTGCAGACAGAGAGGGTTGGTTCAAGGTGATGTAGAAAGTTCTAGAACTTGCCCCGGGACGCGCATGCTCCGTGGGAGGCTGTGTCGGGGGAGGGGGGAGCATGACTGGGAGGAAGAGGCAGGGATGTGCCACTGCCCCCGCGTTCCCCAGGGCCTTAGGGGGGGGCTCCCATCTGTCCTGGAAGGGTCTGTGAATGAAGGCGGGCGGCGGCACTGCACTCCCGGCCTCCCCAGCTCCGTGGCTCGGTCATGATTGGATGCCGTCACGTCCATCATCTTTGTGCCCCAGCCCCCACACTGGCCGGGGCTGTGGTTGTGAGTCTGGGGTCTCCAGAAAGCAGCAAGGACTGGAAGCAGTGCCCGGCGCTACCCACACGACACTTCACGTGTTGTTGATGGGGTGCGTCGGTGTCTGCCACCCCCAGCG